GGATTCTAGAGAGCATTTGATTGGACAGAAAGTTTGATGAGAAGCTGAAGTACGATGTGACGTCAAAAAAATCGTTGAGCCGTTTTGCCGGAAGTGACGAACTGCAAGCTTTGAATGCTTATATCTTCTAAATGCGAATTTTGTCACTGTTTTGGAGCACACTGCCTTATAGATAACCTTAAGACTAACATATTTATACTAACACCCAAAAAACGTTAATTTTGATTTCATGGGGACTTTAACAACTACCTTAATAACTATTAACAAGCAGCAAATTAAGAGTTTATTGAGGGAAAACTCATTACAGACCAACCTTTATTACAGAGATTTAATCTATATTATCATCATAACAACTTGACAAATACACAGTACTGTTCAAAAGTTTGAGGGTCAGTAAGTTTTTTTTTTTAAAGAAATTAATAGTTTTATTCTAAGATACATTCAATTGTGACAAAAGATTTAATGTTACAAAAGATTTCTATTCAAAATAAATGCTGTTCTTTTAAACATTCTATTCATCAAAGAATTCTTAAAAATGCTTCCACAAAACTATAATTCGGCACAACTGTTTTCAACCGTGATGATTTCTGAAGGATCATGTGACACTGAAGACTGCAGTAATGATGCTGAAAATTCAGCTTTGCATCAAAGGAATGCATTACATTTGTACATTTCAATATTCTAATAGAAAATAGTTATTTTACATTGTAATAACATTTCACAATATTACTGTTTTTACTGTATTTTTGATTAAATAAATGCAGCTTTAGTAAGCATAAGAGACTTTAAAAAACAAAGCAAAAAATCAATCGGACCTCAAAGTTTTGAATGATTCTTTAGTTTAATGAAAAATGTTTTTTTTTAAATGGTGCATATGAAAATAGTCTCTAAAAAGCTAATTAAATACAATCCAGTGAAAACAAGTCTGTGGACTGTTTATGCACCAGGTTTGTGTTATGGTACCTCTGACAGCCCCTCACACTGCACATGTGCCTGGATCCACTCCAGCCGGTCTGAGTTTTCTTTCTCTCGCACGCCTTCGTTGACTTGCGAGCACAGCTCTTCAGCCTTCTCCAGAGCCAGCCGCAGGTGACTGTGGTCCGGGTGGCTTTCTGGAGTGTTCTCTAAAATCTGTGCATGGAAGGAGAAGAAACGCGAGACCATGGGTCCAGATACAAAAAGTCAAAGGGAAGTGATGTCAAAGTAGAAGAGTACAGATGGTGATGAATACATTGCTTCTTTATTGGCTTTTTAGCACATAAAGTTTAGTTTTCAGTGTGTCACTGGTTCTTCATACAGTAGTTGGGAAATAGTTGATTATCAACGTACGTTTTTGATGATGAGGGGGTATCGGGTGACTCTCTGCATGGGTTTGAGGAGGAAGCTGGACAGGGGCATTCCCTTACAGCGAGGGTCCATCGCCAACCGCTGTAAAACATGCAAACACATAAAATATCAACTACGCAAGTCACTTCAAGTCAATTTCTATAGCCCTTTATACAATGCAGATTATACAATACAGATAGAAATAAAATAAGCAGACTCAATTATGAATTAACAATCAATAAACATTGTGGTTTTTCTTAAAAATATATAAAAATTGTTAAAACAATTAAAAAATGACTTATTACAATTAAAATCTGCAAACAATACCACAACCTGGACATTTTAATAAAAAAACTTATTAAGCATTAAGCCATAGTCTCACCTTAACAAACTCTTTGAATTCAGGCACCTCGTCTGTTTTCTGCTGAATGAGGGTGGCGCCGTTGAGCTGGCAGCTGCAGAAGCGGATGTACGGCTGCATGTGAGGAAGCTGAGCCGTCAGGATGTCACCAATCATCTTCACTCGGGGTGATACGAGGCATAACTAGCAGTTATTGTAGGAACACGCTCAACTATACAAAAATATTTGACTGCAGAATGCTGCGATTGCCCAATCAGAATCAATTATTCCAGACAGCTGTGTAACTAAATGTTCATTTACTTCATGAATGAATTATTATTGTGCATTCAAAAACATTACGCATGTGATACTGACACAAATGCTTCATCTGGTAGCAGATTGAAAATAAATAAATAAATAAAGCCAGTCTGCAGTTGCCATGAAGTTCTTTAATGGTTACACATTTTTTATAAAGGTGGTATGACACGTTGTTTAAAGCTAGGAATTGTTATATGTTGTTGAGTTTTTAACTGTACATTCATTTTATTTTGATAAAATGCTTTAATAGTCAAGTACAACGGTTAATGTTTTGGACATTTTGGTGAGATATTCAGAACAAATGCATTTTATGACAGAGTACTGAATGGGAAGGAAGCAGTTGTGCTTCTGGATTCTGAGGATGGGTATGTTCACTTAAAATAAAAACAAAATCAAAAACTTTGCAAGAGACTGATCACGGACATGATGAACAGTCCATCCAGCCAATAATAAAGCAGCAACCTCAAATACTTTCACACTGTGGAACCAATAAAGAACCACACAGACATCATTTCATGTCTTGTTTCTCAGCATTAAAATTACAACACTGTTATGAGGCAGATAAAAAAAAATTAAAAAAACAGTTTGTGTGTTGCCAGTACAATATTGTAGGAGTACAAATTAATGCCATGCTTTGTTTGCTTTCTAACAAGCAGAAAAAAAGGACTTTCAAGGCTGAGTGGGATATGGGCAACATAAGAGTCCTAGAAAGAGGAAAACACAGCACATAAGCCAAAAAAAAAAGGGGGAAAAATAAAAAATCTAAATCCAAAAGGAAAGAAAAGAAAAGAAAAACCACAATGTGCAAAATCTTTACGAGCTAGGAGAACTAAATGAACTCTGCAAGACACTTTTCACAGGACGCCACAATGACAAGGACACCGGCATGCAGGCACAGAGAGAAAGAGAGATGAGAGTCTACTAAATGCTCTACAACATGAGGTGAGAGGTTGACTGGAAACAGGAAGAGGAGAGGCTTCGGTGTGGACAATGGACGCTCTATAACTCACCACATCGTGAGGACATAAACTAATTTTGAGAAGGTCCTCAAAGATTTGAAAGAAATGACTGTGTTGGCACAGTCCATTTAACTGGATGTTATTGGTGACGCTTCAAGCCAATTGTCTCTCAAAGGATTTCAGAATTGATTTGTTATTTCTAAGTTCTTCGAGCAGGACAGAGAGAGGATCAGTGTGAGTGCATGTATAAGATACAGGAAAACGTTCTGGACTCACATTGTTGGCTGGGGTCTGTGTCGGTGGTCAGCTTAACGTAGTTTGATGGGAAAAGGCCAGTGGAACCATTCAGCTCTCCCTTCCACCAATCAGGATCCTCTCTGCTCAAAACATTGATGATTTGGCCCTTCCCGAAAGGCAGCTCATCATCGTTTTGAGCCGTGTAATCATACATGCCAATCACCTGGCACACTTTGGAGGGAAAACACAAACGCACATGTAAAATGTGTTTTTGTCCAACTGTAGTTCATCTTCACATATTTTCCAACTACTGACAAATTAATTTCAGAATCTCTATTTCTATATTTATTCTTGAATAATATAATATAATACATTTATTCCTGATTACTGGAGTATTTGCTTTAGTCTATTTGGTAGATCGCCTTTATTTATCAACCATGAGGACATGCAAATACTATGAAAAACAGAGCTGATGATGGTGTGTAGGCAGCACTATACAAGTAACCTAGCCTGTACTAAATGACAAGAAGCAACATGCTCAAACTTGACATACTTAAATGCTTAAACGTGTTAATTATAAAAAGAGCAAAGTACAAAAGTCAACATTTCATCTGTGCTAAGAGAAACCAGTTTCTCGCACAATAAGTTACATGTACCTGCATTGGGTGTTGGCAGCTTGGGTGGGTTGGGCTCTGTGGGTGTGGTCTTACTGGTGCTGGGGCTCAATAATTTTACATAATTAGCTGGAAACCAGCCAATCTGACGCTTCTTTCCTCTTGCCTGGAGAAAGCAACAGCAGTGGGCCATTAAAACGAATCTGATGTAAACATTTAGAAATCTAATTTATGAGGAACAACATCTCACTGGCATTCACCATATCATGTCATAAATTAAAATAAGTAAATCTGAGCACAATAAGCAGATGTAACATTACAAAGCACCAAATATATTTTGCTTCTATAACTAAAGATTCTATTAAATGTTTATGGTTTGTGTTATTGTGGTAGAAAGTGTGGGTGTATTTAATAGCATCTGTGTTATTCAGACCTGAAGTTCTCCTTCCCACCATCCTCCTGGGTTTTTCTTTCGAATAAGAATGAGCTGGCCTGGTGCTAAAGTGAGCTGCTCTGCCCCGGTGGCTGCATACGGAGCGATCACTTGGGCAATCTCTGAACACAGAAGAAAAACACAGGTAAAAGCAGAAAAAACTAGAGTAGAGAACCATTGACCAGTAAAATACTGTTATGGTGTAATTATGAAGGCCACAAAACTGCTGCTTAAAGCTGTTTTTTCCCACCTAAAACTCAAACATTAACTAAGCCAACATAAAAGTTACATGGTACAAGATTTATGACAGAGTTAAATCATGAGGACATCAGCACCCACCTGGTTTCTTCCCTAAACTTCCTGTTTTTCCAGCAGATCCCAAACCCTAAAAAAAAAGTGTAAAGAATGTTATTGTTATGATTTGTTTCTGGTTGAAAAGGTTCCTTATTTGACTACAATAACAATTTTTTTCATCCAAATTATATCAAAAGTACCTCGGATTCTTTAGGCTTGACATAATTTGAGGGGAAGACTCCAGTCTTCCCGCCCACAGTCCCAGTCCACCAATCTCCTTCTTTCTTTGTGACCGTGATGACATCACCTTGCTGGAAGGTCAAGTCACCCTGCTCACTGCTTTCATATGTATACATGGCCACATACTCTGTGATTATACAAAATCATACAAAGACTTTCAGATACAAAATGATTAAGGAAAGAGGGAGAAATGCACGATCCATCGAGCTGTCGCTGGTAATCTGACCTTCTCCGAGATCTGTGGGTTTATTTGGAGATGGGCTGGGTCTCTTAACACTGGGAGGGCTGTCTGAAGAGCCGGATTCAATACTGAAACTCAAAAATCATAGTCTGGATGAAACGCCTAACTGTGTTCAATATCACTTTTTGTAATAAAACTGGTACTTCATAATGGGGTTACAATTGTTGAGTTTATTACTATATTATGCTCGAAAAGTGATAAACATTTATTATAACATATTACAAATATAATGTTATAAATGCGTGCTATTTTGCACAGATGCATTGACAAAAACAAAAATGAACATTTCAATATGCTAACATCTAATAAAAATCACCAATATTAGCCAAGAACCAATATGGTAACGATATATCGCCAAGATACACACCTCATAGATTTCCGGACGGGCCCAGAGATGAGTTTGACGTAAGACTTGGGGAACCATCCTCTCTGCCCTTGCACCTCCCCAAACCACCACATATCCTGCTGCTCCAGGACGGTGATCACGTCATTCTTGTTAAAGTTTAGGTGATTGTCTTTCTTGGCTCTCCATGGATACAAAGCCTGTGCCTGCAGACCCTCCACCTTTTCACCCTGGAAACAAGACCGACAGCAAGAGTTTTCAAAAATGAAACTAAAAAAAAAAGATCAGCAGCAATGCACTCACAAGATCTTAGCACCTAAACGTAACGACCATTTAAGGAAATGATGAACAATGCCATGATGCTTTTCATATGCAGCAACAAAGTAACAGCCTGAAAGAAATAGGCCTTATAAACTTTAACGCAATAGTTCATTTGCTAGAAAATTTGCTTAATTTTACCCTCAGGCCATTCAAGATGTAGATGAGTTTGTTTCTTCATCTGAACATATTTGGAGAAATGTAGCATTATATCAATTGCTCACCAATGAATCCACTGAATGGGTGCCGTCAGAATGAGAGACCAAACAGCTGATAAAACATCACAATAAACCACAAGTGACCCACATGACTCCAGTCCATCAATTAATGTCTTGTGAAACAAAAACTGTAACAAACAAATCCATCAATAAGACTGACTTGTATTTTGGCCAGAAGCAATGGTTTAAAAAGCCTTAATGATGGATTTGTTTATTACAAACACAGCTTTTCGCTTCATAAAACATTAACTTATGGACTGGAGTCATGTGGATTATTGCGATGTTTTTATCAGCTGTTTGGACTCTCATTCTGACTGTACCCATTCACTGCAGTGGATCCACTGGTGTGCAAGTGATGTAATGCTACATTTCTGATATAGAAACAAACTCATCTACATCCTGAATGGTCTGAGACTCAGTCAATTATAATTTCTGGGTTTGAATGATTAATTTAAAATGCATGTATGTATTCAATAAGTAGTTAAGAAAATATAAGAAATCTAATGCAAAAATTCATTAATGTGGATGGGGCAGTTTTTTAGAGAGTATATGTACCTGGCCAAGCACAGGTGAGGGTGAGGAGCCGGAAAGCGTGGCTGGGGTGAAAGCAGAGCGCTGCCTGATCTGCCCTCCACTGGGCACTGACAGGGACGGCTGAGTGGGCTGGGTCGGCCATGCATCCCATCCATCATTGTCCTGCTTCTCCACAACAGAATTAGTTGGCCATCTGAATTAAAGTCACAAGAGCACAGAATCAAAACGGATGCAGATACAACTGAACTGAAAAAAAATAAATCTGCAAATGTCTTTACTAGTAAATTTTTTTTAACTGGACAAATTACTTACGTAGTGCTGAAATCTGCCCAGTTACTAGATGTTGAGGAAGAGGAGGAGGCAGGGCCTGGAGGGGCAGGGGCTGAGGAGGGTGGGGCTATCGATGCAGACTCTGTGGAGACTGATTGCAAGGGTGCGGCTGTGGTTGTTGACGACATATGGGAACCCAATTTAGGGGCAGAACTAGAAGTAGTGCTAGCTCTCAAACTAAGAGGAACTTCAGATTCTGGAATCTTCTCTGCATAATTGGCAGGGAACCAGCCAGTCTTCCCTTTAATCTCTCCTCCTAACCATCCAGGCTCACCTGTCTGAGACTCATCCACCTGACAGAACAGAAACACAAGAGAAAGCAAATGAGAGACATAAAAACAGGATGTGACAAAACAATAAATCACAAATAATTGGGTGATAAAGAACCACAGGGAACCACAGCATCTTAATAAACATCAGAAAAACATGAATATACAGAGCACTGTGCCTGTATGTGATGAAACCAAGGACTCATTTAATTGATTTAATACAGGAAATGGATTAAATGGTCATGGCATCCCAGAGGCATTATCTCTGAGTGATCTAATGGCAAACGCAGCAAAGCCTCTGAAATCTGGCAAAAGACTCAACAACAGACACAGACATGTAGCCACATATTATGATCTCTGTACAAGGTCTGCTTCAGCTCAGTGACAGTTGACCAAAACAGAGAACATCAAAGACAAACTAGAAATGAATAAAAGTGCACAAGGAGCAGAATCTTCGACTTACCCACTCTCCCTTCACCTTCAGGCAGAGAGAGCAAAGGGAGCATAGAGGCAGGGTCAGAGGTCAGTAAATGTACAAACTAGCAGCACACATATAGGCTATACTCTCTCACACAAAGCAAAGACAATCACACTCTCTGGCAAGCACACATCAGAACTATGGCTGTTGATTTAACGCGTTAACTTGGTGCAGTTCATTTTCAAACAAATAACATGCTAAAATTATTAAAGCATTTAATACACCCACCCTGGCACAGACCGAGACGTCATCTTACATTATTACATGCAATGTATTTCTTTCTAAAGCTACTTTTGTAATGTCTAATAATGCTTTTCTCATTTAACACAATACTGACTTTATCTTTGGGGGTAATTTCTCAACCAAAAGTTATGTGATTAATTTGCGATTTATTAGATTAATTAATCAGCACATCATACAATTAACCTACTTTAAAACTTTAATGGCAGCCTAATCATAAAATAAAAGCACACACTGTAGGGCTGAAACTATTCCTTAGTATAACAGTAAACAACAGAGTAATTATATGCAAAATGCAAATGATAATAATAATAATATAAAAAAACATAAAATTAAATAATTGTGGATACATTCAAAAGTGTAGATTGGTAAGATTTTTTAATTGTTTTTTTAAAAGAAGTAATTTACACACACCAAGACAGCATTTATTTTATTAAACTACAGTAAAAACAGCAATGTTGTCAAATATTATCACATTTTACATTAACTGTTTTCTATTGTAATATTTTTTATGTAATTTATTCCAGTCATGGCAAAGCTAAATTTCAGCATCATTACTCCAGTCTTCAGTGTCACGTGATCCTTCAGAAATCATTTTAACATGCCTATTTGCTGCTCAAGAATGTTAAAAACTGCTTACCATCACTATATCTCCAGGATGGATGGTGATTTCATCATGACTGCGGGCATCAAAGGGATACAGTGATCTATAGTAGACCACCTTTACCTTCTCCTGATTAAAGTCAGACACTGGAATCTTATCTATATCAGAAACACAAAAGTTATGAGTTATGCCATTTAGGGTGAACTTAAAGGGGTCTTATGATATAATTGGCAGGGAACCAGCCAGTCTTCCCTTTAATCTCTCCTCCTAACCATCCAGGCTCACCTGTCTGAGACTCATCCACCTGACAGAACAGAAACACAAGAGAAAGCAAATGAGAGACATAAAAACAGGATGTGACAAAACAATAAATCACAAATAATTGGGTGATAAAGAACCACAGGGAACCACAGCATCTTAATAAACATCAGAAAAACATGAATATACAGAGCACTGTGCCTGTATGTGATGAAACCAAGGACTCATTTAATTGATTTAATACAGGAAATGGATTAAATGGTCATGGCATCCCAGAGGCATTATCTCTGAGTGATCTAATGGCAAACGCAGCAAAGCCTCTGAAATCTGGCAAAAGACTCAACAACAGACACAGACATGTAGCCACATATTATGATCTCTGTACAAGGTCTGCTTCAGCTCAGTGACAGTTGACCAAAACAGAGAACATCAAAGACAAACTAGAAATGAATAAAAGTGCACAAGGAGCAGAATCTTCGACTTACCCACTCTCCCTTCACCTTCAGGCAGAGAGAGCAAAGGGAGCATAGAGGCAGGGTCAGAGGTCAGTAAATGTACAAACTAGCAGCACACATATAGGCTATACTCTCTCACACAAAGCAAAGACAATCACACTCTCTGGCAAGCACACATCAGAACTATGGCTGTTGATTTAACGCGTTAACTTGGTGCAGTTCATTTTCAAACAAATAACATGCTAAAATTATTAAAGCATTTAATACACCCACCCTGGCACAGACCGAGACGTCATCTTACATTATTACATGCAATGTATTTCTTTCTAAAGCTACTTTTGTAATGTCTAATAATGCTTTTCTCATTTAACACAATACTGACTTTATCTTTGGGGGTAATTTCTCAACCAAAAGTTATGTGATTAATTTGCGATTTATTAGATTAATTAATCAGCACATCATACAATTAACCTACTTTAAAACTTTAATGGCAGCCTAATCATAAAATAAAAGCACACACTGTAGGGCTGAAACTATTCCTTAGTATAACAGTAAACAACAGAGTAATTATATGCAAAATGCAAATGATAATAATAATAATATAAAAAAACATAAAATTAAATAATTGTGGATACATTCAAAAGTGTAGATTGGTAAGATTTTTTAATTGTTTTTTTAAAAGAAGTAATTTACACACACCAAGACAGCATTTATTTTATTAAACTACAGTAAAAACAGCAATGTTGTCAAATATTATCACATTTTACATTAACTGTTTTCTATTGTAATATTTTTTATGTAATTTATTCCAGTCATGGCAAAGCTAAATTTCAGCATCATTACTCCAGTCTTCAGTGTCACGTGATCCTTCAGAAATCATTTTAACATGCCTATTTGCTGCTCAAGAATGTTAAAAACTGCTTACCATCACTATATCTCCAGGATGGATGGTGATTTCATCATGACTGCGGGCATCAAAGGGATACAGTGATCTATAGTAGACCACCTTTACCTTCTCCTGATTAAAGTCAGACACTGGAATCTTATCTATATCAGAAACACAAAAGTTATGAGTTATGCCATTTAGGGTGAACTTAAAGGGGTCTTATGATGCGATTTCAATTTTGTCGTTTGATCGCGTCCAGTGTAGGCAGACTTTAGCTGTTGTAGACACGGTGTTACTCACGGTGTTACTGCTACTCACGGTGTTGAGAAGAAACAAAGCAACCTCGGCGTCCGATCGCAGGCCTCCGCTCCTTGAGTTCTCTCCAGCGCTGGAAAGCTGATCCGATATTTACATGGGTCCTACTTCTTGCCTTATCGTTCCGCAGACGTTTTCCTCTTTTGTTTTTTATCCGCCATTTCTATCTTTCGGTCGCTGGCTCGGCTAATGTCCATCCCATGCACTGAACGCGCTCTCCTCCACATCACGAGTAGACATGCCCCTTATTGCTGATTGGCTACAAGTTTGTTTTGCGATTCGGCCCGAATCAGTTTTTAAAGTGTTTTTGAAAAATCACTCACTCTGCCTTTAACATGTCTCAATATAAATAAACAACCAAAGAGCAGCTGCCCAACAGTCCAATTCATGTCTGTCTGGTTCAACAAGCATCTTTGTCTCACCTGCCATAGACCAGGGGGACCGAGTCTGTAGTTTTCCAGAATGCGGATGCTGTGTGAAGAGTTTGGAGAGGTTATCCTGTACTTCGGCTCTGCTGTGGTTCTCCTCTTCACTCACTTGGCTTATCCAAGCCTGAGTCGCAGGAGGAGTGGGAGCGTTACCCAGCCCATCATCTCTCCATGCAGGAGACATGCCATCTTCTGTCCCTGACAACCTGAGGGACAAAATGAATGCCTGTTAAAAGAGTCAAATAAAAATTTTTTCTGCAAAGAATAGCCATGGAAGGACATAAAATACCTAGAGTCTTGTAATTCTGTGGACTTCCTGTCGTGCGACGGCTGGGTGATATCAGCCTCCAGCTCCTTTTGTTTCTGCCTCTGTTGTTTGTTGTGGATTTCTCTCAGCTCCTGCAATGCATGATGGGATATTGGAGGACAGGTAAGGGGGAGTATAGGGGGCAACGGGGCTCTGTTTGCGCTCTCTATCACACTCAGACATGTTCACAGCTGTGCCCTGCAAGTGCTGTCTGGACAATCTGTTCGAAGTCTGTCACAGTCTCTATTTATTTATATACAGGAATCATATTTCTGACTACAGCTTATAGGTGATCATCTTAAAATATTGAAAAAATTAGATCGTCCTTTCCAGACTATTTGATACTTTCTGCTATCATTAAACGTTTTCATTTTTTAAAATAGAAAATGTAAAAAGAGTACACAGCATATACTTACACTTTGTGTGCTTGACTATGATTCATGTAACCATTTATTATGTTCATGAATGGCTGGCAAATGTCTCACTAACGTAACAATTGACTGACAACAAACTCAACGCATTTATATTTCAATACTGTATGCGTAAATTGTACACTTGTATGTACATGGTGCAAACTGCATAGCGATTGCTTTTATAATGGCAGGCTGCAATGCCTGCTGGGTAATGTCACATGAACCACAGAAGTCACAAGAGAGGAAATAACAGACTGTTTCAGCAGACCAATGTAATGCCAGACCATTCCACCAATATGCAAGCTCTTTGGGGAAACACCATAAGGATATGGTAAAGGAGTCATATATATATTTTTTTTATATTAAACTGACAGATCTGTTGATAACATATACTTATTACTTATGAACATTTCTGTTCAATGTTGAATGCCACATAAGCACAATTGACACATCGAATTATACAATCAAGAAAGATCACTGCAAGCGGTTTGGTAACAGACAGACTATAGAAAGACAGAGAGAGTTAGCCATTCAATTGTAAAACACACATATACACACACCAAACCAAGTGTAAAAGGGTGTGAGTGCTTAGATTTCATGAACCAGACATGCACTTTTTAATGCATTTGTAAATCCACACACTGAAAACGTAAGATTTGCTTCTGTTAGCAAATGTCATTTTTGCCGGGAAAGCCTGTATAGAATTTACTTGATCACAAGAAGATCAATGTAACTAAATGACATGAACCTATAAAATTATTTTAAAAATTAAATAATGTGAACTAAAACTATTTAGATTATATCCACTGCTGCATATTTGTCAATCTCTGAAGAATGTTTGAATTCCAAAATCAATTGTTCAGTATCCAACTAACCAACTAATTAAATAAATGCTAAAATTCTAGCCAATGGAAATAAAGACAGATAACTGCATTACTATGTGTCTCAAACCGGTATAAAGGAATTTACAGCTAGCTACTCTATTAAAAAAAAACCTGAAAGTCCAGAAACTACTCAAAATAAATGTTCTCCTCAAGTGACTAGAATGTAAATATAAAATGACGCAAAAAAATTCTGTAATGGCTGCTAAGAGATTTCAAAGGATGTATAAAAAAAAGCTTATTGTCCAGGTTCATGCATAAAATTTTGTAAATTAAAGACAGTTCACCCAAAAATAAAAATTCTGTCATTAATTACTCACCCTCATGTCGTTCCAAACCCGTAAGTAGTGTTGTCAAAAGTACTAGTCGGTACTGAAATTTATTTCATTTACATTTGAGAGCTGTAAATGAGTCGATTCTTAAACTGCTGATTTGCCACTGTGTTCAAACGGTCAACATATATGACTGTGATTGGCAACAATGATCATCTCTTCACCAATAGCTCACACAGAAGCACACAGGAGTGTTTGAAAGCCACGTCTGTCAGCGGATCCCTACTATATCTGCACAGACGAATCCGCTGCCAGACGTGGCTTACAAACACTCCGTGTGCTTCTGTGTAAGCGGTCAAATATTGGTAGGAAATGGACTTTTTATAATTTCAGTACTGACTGGTACCAAAGTCGGTATTTTTGACAACACTATCCATAAGACCTTCGTTCATCTTCGGAACACAAGTGAAGATATTTTTGATGAAATCAGAGAGCTTTCTGACCCTGTATAGACAGCAAGGGAACTACCACGTTCAAAGACTACCCAGAAAGGTAGTAAGGACATAGTTAACATAGTCCATGTGACATCAGCGGTTCATCCATAATTTTATGAAGCTATGGGAATACTTTTTCTGCATTAAGAAAACAAAAATAACAATGTTTTTCTCTTCCATGTCAAGTCACCTTTATTTATATAGCGCTTTTAACAATACAGATTGTGTCAAAGCAACTGAACAGCATTAATTAAGAAAATAGTCAGTCTTCCAACGCCTGTTCATGAGAGTACCAAGAATGAAGTTATTTTTGTTTTTTGCACTCAAAAAGCATTCTCGTAGCTTCATAAAATTAAGGGTGAACCACTGATGTCACATGGACTATTGTATCAATGTCCTTAGTACTTTTCTGGGCTTTGAACATTTCATTTGCGTTACTGTCTATGCAGGGTCAGAAAGCTCTCGGATTTCATCAAAAATATCTTAATTTGTGTTACGAAGATGAACAAAGGTCTTACGGGTTTGGAACGACATGAGGGTGAGTAATTAATGACAACATTTTCATTTTTGGGTGAACCTTTAATTGATGCATGTCTTGGGGGGGGTGGGGGTGGGGGGGGAAAGCAGCACGATCAACCTTGCGCATAATTATGATGATCTGTCTCAGATCAGTGCACAAAAAGGCTTAGCTTTCTACTGATACGTGAAGGTTTAGAATAGCTACTACAGTGCTGCCTTTGATGGGCTTCTCAAATGGCGCTTTTCCACTGTGTGGTACAACTCGGCTCAGCATGGCTCAGTACGGCACAGCACGGCTCGGATTGCATTTCCACTGCAGTTTAGTACCGCTTTAGAGTGGGCGGGATTATTCACATGTCGTTATAGTTGCGCCGCCTCGACTGCCGTGACTCCTGAAAAAATTTTTCAATCCGCGTTGCCCCATCAAGCTCTAGCTGGATCCACTCCTCGGCTACCAACGAGAGGGACGTCTGTACTTCCTCAACAGACAACGAAACAGCCATTTTTTGGTTGTTTAAAAAAAAAGGTGCGCTCATTCAAAACAGTTGCGTTCGATCCTTCGTTGGCTGTGCTGATTTAAATCTAGCGGTTCTGTTGTGTCTCGTGTTGCAAGTTCAGTGACGATTCTCTCCGGCCAATCAGTGATCAGCAGAGTTTACACGTCACATCACGGTTCACTTGGAACCTCAACCGAGGAGGTACTCAAAAAAGTACCAGGTGCTGTACCCAGTGGAAAACCCTCCAAAAGTGAACCGCACCGAACCATACTGTACCATGTAGAGGAAACGCACCAAAAGGGAGCTGGAGGAGGTGCAGTGAGACACACGAGCAGGGGACATGGTGTAGTGTGAAATCAAAGGTCAGGGGGGAGAGGGAGGGATGACCTGGAAGTAGAAGTGTATATGCTTCAAACAGGCCAGCAGTGCTGCGAGACAGTCCAACAGCACCTCGTCCACAGAGCTCCCTGACTGCAAGAGACACAGAGCCACCCATATGGTGACGGTTCAAAGGTCACACCACCATAATCGTTATCATTATCATTGTGTTTGCACTCTGTTCTGATGTGTACTCAGCTCTACATAATACAGAGCCTCTTAAGTTTACTTATCTTATGTTTAGAGCGAGAAGCAAACGGAGCAGACACAACATCTGAACCAAAGCAGAGCAGTGAAGTCTTTGCTCTGTTAATCAGTGCGAGCTACAGGCTTGGGAAAAAAAATCTCCAAAATTATTACTTCAGGGTCACAGGGTCAGTACGAGAGACTTAAATTCTGCTGTCATCATGACAACTGGCACACATTTTGTTTTCCAGTCCCACCAGAATTCCACTTGACAAAAGACTGATTTTGAAATTTCCAGAGTTTTGTTTATACTTAATATAATTTTGAATATAATGACCCTTATTTTATATATATATTTTTTTACTTTATTTTTATGAACTTCAACACAATAACAATCAAACAACACTCCTTCATGGGTACATACATAAATATTTTCCCCAACGTATAACATAAAATGTAAAATAAATTTCAGTCTGGTCAACTGGTTACGATATAAGCAAATATTTGTAAGCATGTATAAGTGAATACTTGTGGTCATACATTCATAAACATATTACTCATTTCCTTAGGCTTACTATCAAGCAGCCGTTGATCCTAATTACATACATTTACATTAATGAATATACAGTGGGTACGGAAAGTATTCAGACCCCCTTAAACATCTCTGGAGAGACCTAAAAATTGCTGTCCACCAACGTTTACCATCCAACCTGACAGAACTGGAGAGGCTCTGCAAGGAGGAATGGCAGAGGATCCTCAAATCCAGGTGTGAAAAACTTGTTGGATCTTTCCCAAAAAGACTCATGGCTGTATTCGATCAAAAGGGTGCTTCTACTAAATACTGAGCAAAGGGTCTGAATACTTAGGACCATGTGATATTTCAGTTTTTTCTTTTTTAATAAATCTGCAAAAATGTCAACAATTCTGTGTTTTTCTGTCAATATGGGGTGCTGTGTGTACATTAATGAGGAAAAAAAATTAACTTAAATGATTTTAGCAAATGGCTGCAATATAACAAAGAGTGAAAAATTTAAGGGGGTCTGAATACTTTCCGTACCCACTGTACATATTTCACTTTGACATTTATCTGTCTTCTCTCTGTTTTGATATATAGATTGTCCATTTTCCCCAGTGTTTCTTAAAAGTCTCTTCTTGCAGTCTCAACCTGAATGGCAGTCTTTCCATCTTGTAAATTTCTGTAACTACTTGTTCCCACTGAGTTCTTGTTGGGGGAGGCTGCTGGAGCCATAGTCGAGCAATCGCTTTTTTTGCTGCTGCTAGTAGAATCCTGAGTAGATATTTATTCCTACTATTAACTGAATCAGGTATATTGCCAAGAAATAGAATATAAGCTGTTTTTTCAATCTCAATTTCCAAGATTTCCTCTATGCTAGAATGTATTTCTCACCAAAACAGATTTAAAACTGGACAAGACCAGAAGACATGTACATGATCAGTCGATAATGACCCGCACTGCCTCCAGCAGAAGCCCTGATTTGTCATTCCTCTTTGTTTTACTTTCACTTTGGGCGTAATAAAAAAACAAATTGTATTTTTTCAACAAAATTCCCTTAGAGCCCTGGAATGAATAGTCACACACTGTGAATGCCATAAGTTCAGCCATTCTTCAGCTGGGATACAAATCTGCATTTCCTTTTCCCACTTTTCTAGAATGGCCTTTAATATCTTGAATGCAGGTATATAAACCAGATATTAATCGTTTTTCATAAGTATTTGTATTATACACTTTAATGAACATATTTATCAAAGGGGAATAATCATTTGTTACTCTTCTGATTTTCATATCATAATAGTGTCTAACTTGTAAAAACTTATAAAAATCCTGTTTCTCCAGACCAAATTTGATTATTAAATTCTGAAAATCCTGAATTTCTCCCTCTGATATAATAGAACAGTAAGCAGTTATTCCTTTTTGTGTCCAGCTTTGAAACCTTTTATCCATTTGAGTGGGGTAGAACTGAGAATCATAACCAATCCTACTTCATCTGATACTCTAGTTTGAACTTTCTCATCAATTTATACAATAATTCTAAACCACATTTTGTCTACTGCGTTATGTTTTCAGATATCTCCTTAAATTTATTATCACCTAAAAGTGACTGAACTGGAATAGGGCTTTGCAAGATTTCCAATTGTTTCCAACTGGCAGTATAGGTTGAATCACAGCAACATAGCAAATTTCTCAGTTGGGCAGCAATATAATAGTCTTGAAGGTATGGCAGGGACCGTCCTCCTTTTTCTTTTGCTAACTGTAGAGTTTTAAATTTAATCCGTGTTTTTTTACTATTCCAAATAAATCTAGAAATTATTCTGTCCCATAATGACCCTTATTAAAGCTTCTAAATTCCACCAAGAGCAGTGTGTCATTTTTCTTTTGTTGTTTCATTAACAGCAATGTCACAGACAGCAGCAGGTATATTAGGCTGCTGTAACTTTAAGAACTAATGCACATACCCACGTGATGATACACATCCGCTTTTCTATAAACTATTTATGTTCACTTAACTGACATGAATACTTTGCATGACGGGCATTTTGACATCACTTTGTGTGTATTTGACCATTCAAGCATGTGACAGACTTCTGCGTGCGTGCGTGCTTTGAGTATGTGTCAGTCAGGGCATAAGTACCACATTGATTTATACTTTGCAGCTTAATGCGCTTAACTTTTAAATATCAAGTACACCCCATGTTTTTTTAATTTCATTCATACATGTTTTTTTATCATACCAATGTGTTAATAACTAAGTAGTACTGTGATTATATTGCAATCCCTAATAAAACAGAAGGAAACGGTTTTCCAATGGAACAGTGGCCCAGTAATCAACACAACACATGTATTTCTAAATACATTTATGCCATATTTTAAATCAGTTTAAAACAAACTTTCCAAATCAACTGATTATTTTATTTGTTAATTATTATTTACTAATTATTATTATTAGGTGTTTTGTAGTATTTTAATTTTCGTCATTCTTAATAAAAATGTGACAACAGCAAGTAAATATCTGAGCAGATAAATAAATCTTTATTGTAGAGCCCTGTTGATGCCTTAGTAAAGGGTAGTAGTCAAGACAAGAAACAACTGGAAGTGTGCTACTCTAAGTCCCCTCATACAGGGCAACAGAGAGCACAGTGCTGTGAGTAGAGGGTAATAGTTTGGTGGTAGTTTTCTGGGGGTTAACAGCATTATCAGATTGTCTACCTGTCGCCCCCTCTGCTCTTCAATAAGTAGCTCCGATTGCAGGTTCTCCATCCTAGCAGCGTGGGTCTCATAGAACAGCCCCAAGGACTGTACCACCACGAAGGGTAAAGCAGGGTGAAGCATGGTCAAGTCAGAACAAAGAGGGCCAGCCAAACCGTATAAACATGGTGGAGGGAAGGGTTGAGAGGGAGTCAGCAAGGATGAACGGAGGATGAAGGGCAGGGTGACAGAGTGAGCAGCAGGCAGATACAGTGAGAGAGGAACAAGAGATAGTGTGATGCTGTGAAAATTCTTCTACTTTATCACACACTCTCTTTCTCTTATTCTGAAGGTACATTAAAACTAAATTAAGAGTGTTCTGTTGTTTTTATTAAATACACTGTGTGAAAGCTCAATGATGTCTCAAAATGCACTCTCTCTTACTTCCTCTTTCATTCGCACAAACACACAGGGTCCAAAATGAATATTTTGCCCCAACTGTCAATGGTGAGGGATTCAATTTTTTCTTACTGGCCACGAAACAGTTAAATATATTAAATTGCTTGCTGTAAGTATTTAGATAACATTTAAAAAAAAAAATTTCAGTAGAAGGTTATTTGAATCACTTGCATCACAATGACAGAAAATTCATTTCTATGATGTATTGTAATAGCTCTAACAAACTGGTGAGTTATTCAATTTTATTCATTTATCAAAGCCAATTTTTACTTACATTTCGCACAAATGTTAATTTTGTACCCTGCACTCACACAATGCAAAACATAAAAGTACAAAAATGCCAAGTATAACTAAAACAAATAACACTACTGAAGACAAAATGATCTGTCTGTTTGTGTAAGTGTGTGTGTTTAGGTCTTTCAGGGCTTCAGTACCTTCAGTTGTGTGTTGAAGGAGTCTATCTCCAATAGTTTGGAACGTGTCTCCTTCTCCACAGCATCCAGCTGTTCTCTCAGCTGCTGTTTGGTTGATTCCTTCATTTCAATGGCCCTCTGAAGACTGGACAGAGAGTCTCCTACAAAGCAGAAATAATCAGACCACTACTAAAGAGCATTCCTGAGAGATTAACATCCTCATGAACTATTCTGCAGAACAATTTATTTTTCACTCCTCTACCAATATAAACAAAAATAAGCTTTTATCATCAATGCTTAGTTCACCAATCTGATTATATAAGTTCTTGACTATTTTCTTTCCTCTACGACCTAAGGTGTGTTGTTTTCATGTTCAATCAGCTCAATTGTCATCTGTAATTGTTCCTGCAGTACCAGAAGTGACCAGTCAGCAACTCCTTTTACAGATCACAGTGATTATAGATCACTCACTCTTTGTTTTAAGTGTTACAAATGCTTTATGTGGGCTCGTTGAGGGTGAGAACTCAGAACACACCTTGATTTGAGTGTCCTGAATTTCAACCGGTTTACAAAACAAAGACGTGTTGGGCTGATCATCAATTTTAATCCCAGATATTTTACAGAAACTTTGACAAACTTTGAAATAAATATAGCAGAAGACAGAACCCCACATGCCACCACCAAACAGATTAATTTCATTTTTTTCCTGAGTCTGTGAACTTTTATTTTTTATATATATATATATATATATATAAATAAAAAAAACACAGACAAAGACACAAGTACCACAGTAAGTACTAATGGCAGCTGTTTACCTCTTTAATTAGGTAACCACATAAGATGAGTAGATACCAGCTAAACAGTTTAATTTATGCTACTGTCACTTTGGATCATGGATACTTCACAAACACACAACAGCACTTGTGTTTGTTGCTTTAGACGATGCAAACATATCCAAAAGCAATTTACTCAGAGAAAGACGTACTAAACTGTGTGACAGAAGCAGAAAAGATGCAAAATATACTTAAGTTTTGGCAGAATTTGCTGGTGAACATCAAAGTTCAGAGTCTGGAATACACTTTCATTCCAGCCAAATTCCAACATGGAATGGACTCTGGTTTGCGCACCAAATTGTCTAGTGTGATAATATCTAACCAGATCTTTAAAGCAGTGTTGAGGAAAATGCTCTTACTGTGCAGACTGTTCTGCTGAACCTGCTTCAGCTGGTCATTCAGACACTGTTTGTCAGGAATCAACCGACTCAACCACTGCTGAGACTCCTGATGGAGACAAAAGAGAGAGAGAAAACACATGAAATATTCTGCTTACTTTCAACAGAGCAACATAAAACTGATTATCTTATTGTGTATAATTGTAGGTGAACAAGATATGCATAGTCTAACGCACTTGTTTTTTCCCGTGAGGGGTTTAAACTCCCTCTTCTCTTCCACACACTCAAAAACACCCCAAACTGGAGAGTAGATACTAATTCAAACGATACCAATGCTGAAAGGATGCTGATGATGCCTCTGTAAGAGGTGAGTGAGAAGAAAGAAGAGAGAAATGAGGATGGAGAGCAGGGAAGAAGTGCACACCTGCAGCTGCTGTTGCAGGCTGGTGATCTCAGCAATGCGGAGCTCTCGTGTCTTATTGGTGCTCTCGATCTCGTGCCTCTGAGCCGAGAGACGGAAACGAATGTCCTGCAGTTTACCCTCCAACTGTGACTTCTTATCATTCTAGAGAAGAGCCACAAAGAACAACAGATGTCAAACTATTAAACTCCGCATCAGATTAACTTTGGTTTAATATGCATATGGGACCACTCAAACAGATTACAATTCTGTTTGGTGCTGCTGATAGTGCAGAAATCACAAAAGGCAGCTTTAAAATGAGTCTAAATGTCTTTTTTAACTGCCTTATTAAAGGGATAGTTCACCCAAAAATTAAAATACATGCAGAGGAAAGTACGCGCATGTGTCGTGATACTCTCCAAAATGGCTAGGGTAACGCGGAGGAGAAGAACTGTAGAGTCGTTATTTTTGTTTTCTTTGCTCACAAAAAGTATTCTTGTAACATCGTAAAATTACGGTTGAACCACTGATGTCACATGGATATTTTAACAGTGTCCTTGCTACGTTTCTGTGCCTTGACCGTGGTAAAACCCTGGCTTTCTATGGAGGATCAGAAAGCTCTCGGATTTCATCAAAAATATCTTAAAGGGATACTCCACCCCAAAATGAAAATTTCTTCATTAATCACTTACCCCCATGTCGTTCCAAACCCGTAAAAGTTTCGTTCGTCTTCGGAACACAATTTAAGATATTTTGGAGGAAAACCAGGAGGCTTGTGACTGTCCCATTGGCTGCCAAGTAAATTGCACCGTCAAGGTCCAGAAAAGTATGAAAGAGATCGTCAGAATAGTCCATCTGCCATCAGTGGTTCAAACTGAATTTTATGAAGCGACGAGAATACTTTTTGTACGCCAAGAAATCAAAAATAACGACTTTATTCAACAATTGGTCTCCTCTGTGTCTCTCCGCATCACCGTAGCGCCATTTTGGAGAACATCCGCTGAATGCAAGAAGCGTACGCTATTCTGTCAGCCGCGCTGCACGGATGCGCTGTTTTCATTCAAATCAAAGCGTAAATACACGTAGAAAACGTATCCTTGTGTCGTGGCTGACACAGAATAGCGTACGCTGCTTGCGTTCTTGGCGCTACGGTGATGCGGAGAGACACAGAGGAGACGAATTGTTGAATAAAGTCGTTATTTTTGTTTTCTTCGTGTACAAAAAGTATTCTCGTCGCTTCACAAAATTCAGATTGAACCACTGATGGCAGATGGACTATTCTGACGATGTCTTTCATACTTTTCTGGACCTTGACAGTGCAATTTACTTGGCAGGCAATCGGACAGTCACAAGCCTCCCGGTTATATCTTAAATTGTGTTCCGAAGACGAACAAAGCTTTTACGGGTTTGGAACGACATGGGGGTAAGTGACTAATGACAAAATTTTCATTTTGGGGTGGAGTAACCCTTTAATTTGTGTTCCAAAGATGAACGAAGGTCTTACGGTTTTGGAACGACATGAGGGCGAGTAATTAATGACAGAATTTTCATTTTTGGGTGAACTATCCCTATAATGTGATTATTACATCTGATGTATGACCAAGCCTATTTAAATCTATTAAGGAAAAACACTATATGGAAAAAAAAAATGTTTTTTCAAGCATTGGTCATTTCTGAGATTTTGGACAATTCAGCTTTTTATAAAGTGTTGTGTCCTACTGTAAAGAAAATATCAAAAATATACTTTTTTCATTTTATTGTACTATTATCTATTAACATATGTAGATTTCAATTATACTACTTATTTTAAGGCTGTTTTGTCAAAATGAGTTTTTTCCTAATACACTGAGCCAGAAATCTTTACTTCAGTAGCACTGACACACATCAAACTCTATACCTATCCATATTCTGAAGGCTTTTACAGAGGGGTTTGTTCATGTATCGTTCACCTGATTTTATTCCTAAAAACATGGTTGTATTTTTTTATTTATGTATTGGTGATATAAAGAAATATCCAAAATTCCCTCTGTTAAAACCTGCAATGTATGCAAATAAGTGCATATTTAATTAGATAAACTTGTGTGCATTTTTTTAATCCACGGGGGAAGTATGGTCACATCTACCAGTTAACATTTTTACCCTATTCACCTGGACTGTCTTGACTTAAAACATTAAAGTGCATGGAAATGCATGTACCAGAGCCTCCAGTTCAAACTCGAGCGTTTTCTTGCGTGCTTTGAGCAGGACGATGTTCTCCTGCTCTCTGTTTCTCTGGGTGAGCAGCTCCTGTCTGCGTGTTCTCTCCCATTCTAACTGCCGCTGACGCTCCAGCTCCCGCTTAGCAGCCTTCACACACAACACACACTCAAGAGGTTACAGATGATGCTGATAGTGTTTAAGATGCACTGAACTCAGAGAATTTTTGAACTCACCTCTCTTCTCTCGATCTCCTTGCGTCTCTCCTCCTCCCTCTGTCGCTCCAGCTCTCTCTGTCTCTCCAGTTGTCTGTCCAGCTCCTGCTGTCTGCGTCTCTCCTGCTCCAGTCGTTCTCTCTCCTTCCTCTCGTGCTCCTCTTTCTCCAGCGCCACCAGTCGCTCCTGCTCTTTCCTCTGCTGCTCCAGAAGCGCCTGACGACGTTTCTCCAGCTCCAGGTTTCCACGCTCAAAGTTCTCTCGTTTCTTATCCTCGAATGTGACTGAGGGGAAATACGGAAACAATTTTAAGACAGATTTTTACATTTAAAACAAAGTAGCAACCTTTGGCACTCTTTTACACCTAGCATGTGTTTATGGTGATACACTTGACCACATTAAAAGCCACATGTAAATACACACAAACAGTGATTGTATTGAGATTACTGAACCCAGTTTCAGAAGTTGTCAGAACAGGTTCTGACCACATTCAATGAAAATGTTAATGCATTTTGTTAACTATGCAAATAATATGTAAAAGGTTGCTCTACACATAAAACATTAACTGTCATTTTGACAGGCTGGGCTGTAAATTTTCTATTATGCCCTACCTTTATGTCATCTTGTGATCTGGTCAAATAAAAGAACAATATCTCATGAATTAGACAACACTTGCAATTTTTCATTTTGTCTCCCCAGACCTTCATTCATATCTCTCTCAGGATGCTTTATTTTGAGAGGGGAGCGTTAAAACTTCTTTTACCCATTTTATACAATTATATATTGTATTATATACAATGGCCATGTTTCTAAAGGTAAAAGTAACCAGAAACTAGGGATGGGTCACGATTTTCGAATATTCGATTAGTTAATTTAATTATAGAATATCGAACAAGTTGTGTGATTATTGTCTTTAAAAAATCTCCCCATGTTTTCCGTGCTGATGCGGTGGTGTAAGCAAAGGGTGGCGCTGCCAATAACGCACCTAAAAGCTGCTGTCAAAGACAACAGGAGAACACATTGTCTCATCCGAACACTGTAGACTTGCGTGGCATAAAAAAAGACTTGCGTAGCATATAACGGTTACAGTAACTTAGGATGATGTCAAATAAGAGTTCTGTGTGGACCACAAACACCCCCGACTGGGTTAGAGGTGTGGCTGAATCCGTATTCAGAAAGGCGCGGTAAACAAATAATGCGTTCTACGGAGCCACTAAAGGGACATGGTTAGCCGCTTGCTAACGGTAGCCAGTTACATTACAGTACATAACATTTCACTTACCACAAAAACAGATAAGGAGAGATGACTGATAGGATGATGGCGAATGATTTGCAGATCCTGAGCACCACTGACAAACATCTAATCTTGTAAAATGTGTGGTAAGTAACGTTACTGCCGAGTGCTGCTCCGTACGTACGTGTGATCGCAAATCTCGAAAGTGAAAGTAAAAAAGCGCACGTTCAAATGCGATTTAAATGCCCCGCATATGAATAACGGCTCCCTGATGCCCGCAGTTTATATACAGTATGATTACCCAACGATATAATTGCGACAGAAGATATTGAAGTATATTTTTCCTCCAATCTCATATCTATTTCCTTTAGGGGTTCCATTTTTTTAAATGGAAATGTCCTAGCCTTAGGAGCAGTTCATTTATGCTAATCGACGGACTGTTATGTTAATAAGTGCCGTCATTCGGTTGTGTTTATTATATTAATATGTTTCAGCACGTTAGAATCATTATATGGCTTGAGTTAAGGTAGCCTATCTTCTGAATAAAACAGTTTATCATACAGATTGAAAGTGTGAATCCCGCCTCTCTCCCTCTCTCTCAGTTTATGGGTGTTTGTGCGTGCATGCGGGGGAGGGGGGCGATTTTCGAATAATAATCGAATAATACCCTGCTATTTTCAAATATTACTTTTGCTTGGAATGGCCATTCCTACCAGAAACCTGGTATTCTATAAGTCAAAATGAGGGAAGGCACTTTGAATGGGCCATTAATGTTTTTAAAAATCAGTAAACGGCGGAACATTTACAATTAATGTAGCCTAATATGTAAGCGATGGTTTCCATTTTATATGGGTAAGAGGTATCAGATCTCACAACAAATTGCACTGCAAGATGTAAATGCAAGTTAAAGAGCTAAATCCAGTTAAAGGGGTCATATGATGTTGCTAAAAAGAACATTATTTTGTGTATTTGGTGTAATGAAATGTGTTTATGCGGTTTAAGGTTCAAAAAACACATTATTTTCCACATACTGTACATTATTTTTTCTCCTCTATGCCCCGCCTTTCAGAAACGCATCGATTTTTACAAAGCTCATCGGTCTGAAAAGCGATGTGTGCTCTGATTGGCCAGCTATCCAGTGCGTTGTGATTGCCCGAATACCTCAAGCGTGTGACGGAAATGTTACGCCCCTACCATATTGTGATGCCCTGTTCGGCCGGAGCGACGAGACAAAAACATTCAAACCCATTATAAACGAGGCATGTGTTGCATCCAGTGGGGACATAATTACGAATTATAATGACTTATACTGTCTTTTTTTCGCATTGCATTGCATCGCGCCGCGTAAACATAAAACCATGTCTGCATTTGTGATCGGAGAAACGAC